CAGACGCTGCCGTCCAAGGCCATGTCGTGGCGTGACGGGCACGTGTTCATCACCGAGCTGCCGCTGCCACTGCATACGGCCCTCGTTGCCGCGTGCAACAGCGTCGTCGAAGCAGCGACGGGCACAAGCAACTGGCATCTCAAGCACTATCGCAGTGCGATGGTGGCGTCGCTGAGCCTGCTCATCGAACCCGACTGCAGCTACGGCCCGGACCGTGGTGTCGGCGGGTCGCTTCCGCGCGGCCTCCTCTCGTGGGCCGAGTACCACACGGTCAAGGTCGAGATTGGCGTCACGCGCGGCTGGACGCAGCTCGATGTCAAGGCCGGCGAATGGCACCGTTTTCCCGGCGTCCAGTACATTGTGTGCATCCATGTCTCGAGCGACCGTCGCGTGCGTGAGTACAAGCTCTACGACGTGGTGGCGGGGCAGCCGCTTGCGCCGGTCGCGCCGCGGCCCATTGAAGCGTCGACTGTGCTTTCGCTTGACTCGCGTCGCCTCCTCGGGCTCCCTGCATCAGAACGCTTCCCGACGCGGTTCGCGCAGCCCAGCATGCGCGTGTCGCTCTCAGAAATTGTGACGACCGCCATCGCCAAGCAAACCAACTAAGTTATGAGTTATGAGATCATATATATCCAAGTCCTGTTACGACCCTAGAAGCTTCAATAATGTCTTGCTTCCTTCTTGGCACAGCACGGCAGGCCATGCGCAGGGCCATGCGAGATATTTCGACAATGAGAGACGGGCGGTGGGTAGGCGTCATCAAGACCACGAGCCACAACATTGTCAGTACCTACCAGCTGACCTACCAGTGCGAACAGAGTCTTAAGGAGCCGAAGATGCACGTCTCGATCGCGCGAGCACATTCCGTGGCAGCTTGGCGCGTGTCGTTGATTGTGTTTCCGGAGCCATGGTCCGCAGGCTGGATCCCATTGGCTGAAATCGAAAAGAGATTTTGAAGCGCCAATCAGATGGGTGCATGATACTGAGTTTGCCTTTCTACCGATAGCTTGCTACAGCCATGAGTATCGCTGCGGTGCTCTCGCAGCCGCCGCTTGTCGCCCGCATCACGACCTTCCAGGACGGCGTCTTTGCCGACGTTCAAAGCCGGTTCATCGAGTTCCACTGCAGCGTGCGCTTCGCTATGCGATGGGTCGACCCGTGCTGGTGCCTGGGCGTCTACGACGTGCCGCGGGGCGTGCGCAGTCGGTTGGCGCCGCACGACGTGCTCTGGTCACTGCCAGGTAGCGACGTGCATTTGTTCTCGAACGCTCGAGACCCGCGCTTCATCTTGCATGTGGCCATCTACGAAGGCGACGCCGACGCTGCCACGCGCATCGCAAGGTGCTGCCCGCATCTCCTCTCGGACGCGGCGATCGGCATGGCCTTGGAACTTGATGAGATCAACATTGCAGCATCACTGGTTCATCTCCATGGCCCATGCTCTGGCGACAGCGAATGGATCGAGTCCCTGGGCCGATCGCTGGTTCCGCACATCATACGCCGCGGGTCCGTGCCCTACTTGGAGGTTCTCCGAGCCTTTCTTCCAACAGCGTGGTTGACCAAGTGGCTCCGCTTCACGATCAAGTACCATATATTGCCAAGCGCTTTCTACATCTACACGTTCTGCCCCGAGACGCCCGGCGACGACGACCCGCTCATTTATGCGCGGACGGTGGGCTCCGCCTCGTTCGTGGACCACGTCGCCTCGTTGCGCCAACGTGCATGCACCGCGTATGATACTAGTACACAGACCGCCATGCAAATGCAACATGGAAAAAGGGTGCTTTGTCGTGCCTTGTAAAGACTCAAGAGTCGCCCGACAGGACGCTACACCTCTTTAAAAGACGCTAGCACTCACGTCTTGTACAACTATTTTCGAGGAATTGCACGAGTGCTGAAGTCCCCATCGTCGTGGCCTGCGTCAAGAGGCTCTCATGGCTGCGCGTTTCGGGGCAGACGGCGTAGAGGAGGTACAACCGTGCCAGACAGCACGCTGGTGTGCCATTGGCGTGGATTTTGCGCGGCCTCTTTGTTCAGTCGAAAGGCCATCACAGCGTCCGAGATTGAGCTTGGGTAGCACGCAAGCTGCATCCACGTCCCCTCGTAGATGGCCAAATGCAAGAATGTGTTTCATGGGAATCATTGAGGTGCAAGTCGTTGCCCGAGACGCTCTGAGGTGGCTATGTTTGACTGAAAACCGCCCGTAAACAAGCCGTAGGCATAAGTACACCAGCCCAGGCCAACCGCGCGCAAGGTGCTGGGCGCGTCTCGATCGAACTCGAGACTGCCCTCTTGACGTCGCAGAAGACACCAGATTGGAAGGCCAAGATGGTGGCAAGGATCGTCGGTTGTGTCAGCAGCGCTCAGGATCGAGTCACATTTCGCGAGATGAACGAGTTAAATGGTCGATTAGATGGGTCCCGCGCTCAGGATCGAGAACTCAAGACCGCGGCTTTGGAGCTTGGCGATATAGTCCGAGTGCTTGAACGCGGCTCCGGGCGTAAGCACGCCACGCGGCAGCTTCCTCTTCTCACTCGCCCCGTCCTGCACGACCACGAGCGCGGCTTCCACGAGGCAGATCGGCGTCGCGACATACCCTGGCTCGGGTCCATCGAGGCGCACCTTGACTTGCCAGTCCAGCGCGCCATCCGCCTACGCATCACCCAGATCTCAACCCTGTCGACATCGCAGTCCACTGTACCTTGGCCGCATCCTCGTAGCCGCGCGCAATGCAAAAGTGAGTGAACGATGCCGCCGCCATCTCGTCGTCCGTCGGTCCCGCGTGTGTGAACGCGCCGGCCGTAAAGAAGCTCGGGTACTTGATGAGAAGCCGGCGACCGGCCTCGCACCACGCCACGACGCCAAGCAGGAGGCCAAACATCGCGAGCAGAAGCACGTAGCCAAAATGCTGGACATAAAAGTACACTTGGGTCTCGACGCCGGGGTTGCTGAGCTCCAAAAGATAGGCGTCCGCGCCGAGGAACTGCGCGGCAAACTTGCCAATACGGGCGTCGTACGAGAAGAGGTAGCGCGAGAGGCGCGTGTGCGCCGATGTTGCCGCTTGAGCACGAAGGGCGTTGTAGTAGTGACGAGTCTTGGCGCGATGGCTCGGGTTGGCCATGAGTACGACGCACTCGTACGTCGTCGCGTGGCCGTGGGACGAGTCGACGCCCATGAGCACCTCGGACGTCATGACGCGGCCGTGGGGCGGAAACTGCGCCGACGCAAACGCTGCGCAGACCTCGGTGGGGACGCTGTCAAAGCCCATGGCGCTGACGACGAGCGCGTCATTGGCTTTCGCGTCGGCATCGTACTTCGCCATCATTTCGAGGATGAAGTGCGCCTCGCCCGTAATGTCGAGGTAGTGCGTCCCATGCTGCACGCAGCTCGCAACCACGGGCTCGCCAAAGTACTCGTACGGCCCCGTGCAGTTGAGCAACACCTGCGTGCGCTGGCTCATGGCGTCGAGCGAAGCGACATCGCGGACGTCGGCAAGCACGATCGGGATCGCTGGCTGGCTGCTGTACGCGGGCAGCGCAGCTACAATCTTGGCGTAGACCTCTAGAAGACAATGGTAAACGACTGTGAGCGGGACGACTTGGTGCGCACCTTGGAGCTTGGCCGAGGACCGGCCAGCGAGGGCCCAGCGCAGGTTGGGCATGCTCAGCGCCCGCTTGGCGAGATCGAGAGCCACGTACTGCCCGGTAAAGCTATTGCATGGCATGAGCGTTGGACGCCCTCGAAGGGGGAAGCGTAGTACCCGCTGGCACCGAAGACGAGGATGTCAAACTCGCGGCGACCCATGGAAAAATTAGAAAGTGGCCGATATTTTGCTCGTGGGACATACGCCGAGGGTATTTCCCACTACGGTTCCAGCCAATCAGAATCGTGGATTCAGGGTAAAACGCATCGTTTGCCCCATAATCGCGCCAATATGACGACGGGTGGCTTCCTCTCAACTCAACAAGACCACGCACGACCAGCATGATAGCTCGCAAAAAAGCTTGCGTAGACTGCAGGCTGCTTAACCTGTCACTACACCTGGAAACAGTGAGCGAGATGGGGTCGTTGCAGATTCCTTCTTGACGTCTGATGGCTTGGACCATCAGTGCGAGGGCGCTGGGCAAGGGTATACCAATACAGAGGCTGTGATTTGTGCGTGCTGCGGAAATGAATACGCGGTCATTCGAAACGCGCCTCAACGGCAATGATACTGCTAGGACTAGAGCGATTGCTCAAACGATCAAGCTAGAGTTGAATCGGTCTCCCAGCTCACATTGTGTGAGAAGCCCGATCCTCTGCATGGGATCCGTGGATCGTTGGATCCTCTTCACGCCAAGTTCAATTTGAAGAATTGACGTTCGTTTCTAAGGCGCACCGAGATCGAAATCGGGTGCGTTTTTCTGGAGCTTCGGTTTTGGCGCGGTGGCGTAACCGGATGCGTAGTGCGCGGAGAACCACTTGCTTGCACGCAGAAGTCCTCATCGAGTGTTCCTCGTCGAATTTAGACTTGAGCTGGTGGCTCTACGACCAACTCGATTGATCTGGAGTCAACGGAAAGATCTTGTCGTTGGAGCGTATACGTTGAGATTCGCCGGTTGACTTGTGCGAGGGATTACTACCGTCTACGACTCACTATTAATTAGACGGCCGAGCTCGAATCTCTGTGCTCGGGCGACTATTCCTTCCATCCAGGCATGTTCTCAGTCAATTGCATCTGCAGCCTACAGTCTGCGGCAACGGAATCCAAGCGCCGCGTCTCCAACTTCGGGTCGTTCGCTCGGCCGTTTCGTGATGAGAGTCATTTTGAAACCCGCATATAGGAACAAACCGCCGTGTGGCTTGCTATTACTCCTCTAGTACCTCCTCTTGATGTGCTGCAGTCCAATGCGGGCAAAGGAGCCCTGTGCGTGAACCGAGCCACGGTTGCAGGTGCGCTTTTACCGGAATGGGTGCGTTTTCTAAAATGGCGTTTGAATCTCTCATAGTTATCCGGACAACCCTGTTCTCTCCCGCTTTTTTGGTTTTCTCTGCCCATGGTTCGTCGCCGCCCAGCTTCGCCGTCCGCGTGGGCGCCGCTGCTCATGCTAACGACGCCGGGCCTCAACCTCTCCAAGCTACTGGCCTCTCTGGACGGAACCACGGCCTTCTGCGCCCATGTCTGCGAAGCCTTTGACGGCGTCAAGTTCACGCACGTGGCGGTCGACCGGCACGGGTCGCCCGCGCTCCTGCTGCTCGCCGGCGCCCTCGCCATGCACGCGCACTGCGGCGTCGCCTTCCTTCAAGACGCACATACCGCCGACCGGTCGCTACTCTTCCTCACGGACCTCGTCGAGCACGGCGACGACTTTATGCGGCAGGCGGATGCGGCATTGACCAAGTGCAACGGGGCGCTTGTCGCTGTCGCCAGCGTCTGCGGCAAGGAAGAGCTTCCGGACGAGCTAAACATCTCGGTACCGTGGTTTTGCGGCTGGACGCCCAAAGGCGCCAAGATGCAAGTCGCCTCGACGGCGCCAACCAAAGCGGCGGCCTTCCCACGGCCGTTTGAGCTGCGCCACTGCACGACCACGTACGAGGGCAATATCATGAGCGAAGACCGGAGCGACTGCTGGACGCAGTCCCCCGACACGGCCCTCTTTGCCGTCTACGACGGCCACGGCGGCGAGATCGCCGTCAACTTTATCCACAAGACTCTGGGGCCGCTCATTTTGGACACGGTCCAAGCCAACGGGTCGCCGCTCAAGCGCAAGCGCGACGCACCTGCACCGCCGCCGCTCACGGCAGCGCTCAAGAGCGCGTTCCTTCAATGCGACGATCTGCTCAAGGAGAAGCTTCGGTCGTACGGTGCCACGATTGCGAGCTCGAAAGGCTTCTGCAACACGGGGTCTTGCGCGGTCACTGCGCTATTCCGCGGTAGGACATCGTCGTATCTATCAGTTCTGATTGTCTCATGCGTGTGGGTGCAGGCGACACGGTCTTCATCGCGAACGTCGGCGACTGCCAAGCGGTGCTGGGCTACTCGACGTCGGTCATCTCGACCGTCGACGTGGCGTCCATGGCAGCCAAAGTGCTCACAACGACCCACGACTGCAACAACGCGGACGAAATCAAGCGCGGTACGCTTTTAGCGTCATGACAGCAGCTTATAGATGCTTTTGGCTAGTGGTCGAACGAAGCAACGATCGCAATGCGATTCGCATGAGCAAAGACGATAGGTTGAGCTGCAGCGAGTATGGCATCAAGCGCGTTGCGGGCTCGCTCAGCGTCACGCGGGCTCTTGGCGACTGGTACTTAAAGGCGGACGAGTTTAGCGCGCCGCCGTACAAGGCCAAAGTACCCTACATCACGGCCGAGCCCGACGTGGTGGTGCACCACATCACCAAGCGCGACAAGTTTTTGATTCTGGCGAGCGACGGGCTCTGGGAGGTGGTTCCCCCGCTCCTCGCTGTCCAGATCGTCACCAACTACGGTACGTCGCCGTCGCGGGATCAATTCTGGAAACCTTTGGTAGTGACAACGGCGGCCAACGCGGGCGAGGCTCCGATTCCATCGGCGAGTGCTGCGCTCGTGCACTGCGCACTCGACCGGGCGGCGAGCAAGGAAGGCCTCGCGCTGCACGACCTCCTCGCCATCTCCAAGGGTCCTCAGCGAAGGACGATCCACGACGACATCACTTGCACCGTCATCTTTCTTGAACACGTCTAGATAGTTGGAGTAGCAAAAGCACCGATGCATCATTGCACACTTGATCCATCCATGACCCTAGTCCTCAAGTATTTCATATTCTAGAGAGTAGTGCAAGCCCTCGTGGGCTAGCACTAGGACACGGTTAGCGGCGACATGCAAGCGCTGGCCTCTGTTGCCTCTTGGCACTTGGAGCTTGAGGCCGAGGTTGCAGTCGGATCGATCCGAAATGCAATCGCTTCGCCAACGTAGCATCGAATTATTCCTTGACTGTACTATAGACCGTTGACGTGAAACAGTGTATTGCTGAAAACTAGTTTTGTCCGAATTACGCACGAAATGTCCGAATTGAGAAACAGAATGTCATTTTGGAGGCCACTGTACATGTAGTGGATATTTACCGTAAATATACGGCAGATTATGCGGATGCCGCTGGTGTTATGCGGATTTATACGCGCCATGCTGAAACCGCGTCGTTTGATTTTCACAGTTGAAATCACAAATGATTTTGATGATCGTATGTGGCTCGGGATGTCGGCCAGCAACTCGAATTGCGCTTTGTGTTACTGGCTCTTGATGCACGTCCACCGTCGCTACCAGGTATCAAAATGAGTCTGGGCTCGATCCCCGAAGATGCTCGGCACACAGTGACAAGGGTTTTAATTTTTTGAAATTGACCACCATGGGAGTGACGATCTTTTTCAAGTGGGGCCCTCCGTTGACGGGTTGAGTCTGCTGGCGCCAATTCATCATGGCTCGGTCATCGAGTAATGTACAAGCAGAGAACACCGCAACTCTGGCCGAACGTGTGGTTTGATCCAGCGACGTAGTTGACCGAAGTTCGAAGTCTTGGCCGATTGAAGTTGGCGAGAGCACCCCGGGGCACGACCGAGACAGGCGGTTGTTTGATTTGTGGCACGCCGACGACAATGCTTCAGCAGCGCGCCCGCCGCCTTGGGCGCAGCGTTCTCTTCCTGCCTGGTACCCACGAGCGCCTTCATGCTCCTGCTATAAGCACGACCTCTAGGTATCAATGCACGAGCGCTGGAAAAGCTGCGCGTCCTGCCCTGCGACGCAGCGATCCTCGACCTCGAAGACGCCGTCGCGCCGCTTAAGAAGGCCGAAGCCCGAGCCCTCGTGTGCGCAGCGGCCATGCGCGGGTACGGTCCGTACAAGGAGGTCGCAATCCGCATTAACCCGCTCGCGAGCGAGTGGGGCCACGCAGACCTCGAACATGCCGTGCGCACGGGCGCCCACGCCGTCGTGGTGCCCAAGGTCGACTCGGCCGACGGCTTGCGCGAGGTGGCGATGGCCATGGACGCGCTGGACGCACCGTCCGACATGGCTATCTGGGCGATGATCGAGACACCGCTCGGTGTGCTCAACGTGCAGTCGATCGCTGCGTCGCACCCGCGCTTGAGTACGCTCGTCGCCGGCACCTCCGACTTGAGCAAGGTAACTCTGACACTGCAGGTCACAGACGACCGTCTCGCATAGGAGCTCCAGTGTACGACGACGCCGTGCCGGCACGCGCTCGTGCCAAGCTTGGCGATGATCCTCCTCGCTGCCCGCGCGCACCGCTTGCGCGCGCTCGATGGCGTGCACTTGGACTTGGAGAACGCAGCGGACTTTTTTGGCGCAGCTACGGCAAGGCGTCGAGATGGGCTTTGACGGCAAGACGCTCATCCACCCCAAGGTATGGCATGGAGTTTGACAGGATATTCTCACGAAGTCGTGCAGACGATTGCTGCGACCAACGACGCCTTCTCGCCGACGACCGACCAAGTCGACCACGCCGCCCAGGTGATTGCAGCGTATGACGAGGCGATTGCTGCCGGCAGCGGCATGGCGGTCCTCCACGGCAAGCTCATCGGTACGACGTTCGCGTCCCACCGATTTAGGCTCTCTGATCATTTTAGAAAACTTGCACGTGGAGCTGGCGCGGGATATCCTCTCAAAACACGCGCTCATTCAAGAGCAACTGGCCACCTCGAAGCTTTAAGACTGACACGTAACAGCTCTAAGTTCTGGAGGCTATGAAGTGGTGGTGTCGCTATTCAGCCGTTGGATACACAACCGCAGCGATTCACAGGCAGGCATGGATACTTCGTCCTTGATTCACGTCAGTAGCCACGTCAAACTTGGCGGTCATAGATCGTAGGCGCTCGCTGTCAGGAAGAGCAGATCGACACCATGCATCAAGTTACTCTTCGTGGTGCGTGAGCTTCAACTTGAAGTAGCCAAGACCTGTGGTGAGAAAAGCAATCTGGAAGATCTCTATCGCATCGATATCTTATTGAGTCGTTCTACGCATCATGGCTCGCCTCGGTCGGCTCACGCGCAGTGTGCTTTTCGTGCCTGGTACCCCGGTGCCTACGTGAGATGCCATGATGCTTATGGTGATGGCGCAGGCATTAATACCGCCCTCTTGCGCGACCTGCCGCGTCTCGCGTGCGATGCGGCGATGCTCGACCTCGAAGACGCCGTAGCCCCCGCCAAGAAGCTCGACGCACGCGCCCTCGTCGCCGACGCGATCACTGGCAGCCTCGGCCTCAACACGGAGATCGCAGTGCGTATCAACCCACTCGCGAGTGCGTGGGGCGCCGCCGACCTCGCCCGCGCCGTCGCTGCGGGTACATCGCTTCTGCCATCGTATCGCTGAATCCATCGTGTCTAGGCGCGGATGCCATCGTCGTGCCTAAGGTCGACTCGGCGGCGATCCTGTCCGAGGTCGCGGCTGCCATGGACGATCACGGCGCGCCGCCAAGCATGCGGATCTGGGCCATGATCGAGACGCCACGCGGTGTCCTCAACGTTGATTCCATTGCGACCTCGCACTCGCGCCTAAGTACCCTCGTTGCTGGCACGTCCGACTTGAGCAAGGTCCTTCCTACTACGGTCCATCAAGTAAGGCTCATAGGATGATGTTGTGCATGCAGGAGCTCCGCATCGAGCTGACACCGTGCCGCCACGCTCTCGTGCCGAGCCTCGCGATGATCGTGCTCGCAGCGCGCGCAAACAACTTGGCCGCCATCGACGGCGTCCATTTCGACGTCACCCCATAGGATGTGTTGCATGCAGGAGCTCCGCATCGAGCTGACACCGTGCCGCCACGCTCTCGTGCCGAGCCTCGCGATGATCGTGCTCGCAGCGCGCGCAAACGACTTGGCCGCGATCGACGGCGTCCATTTCGACGTCACCCAAACCGCCGCATTCGACGCGCAGCTGCGCCACGGGGTCGAGATGGGTTTTGACGGCAAGACGCTCCTGCATGCGTCGGTAGGCTTCCACCACCGTTCGTCTCGGATGAGTTGTGATGTCTGGTAGACCATTGACAAGGCGAATGCGGCCTTCTCGCCGACGCAGGCGCAGCTGCAGTACGCGAGAGATGTCGTCGCGGCCCACAAGGAGGCCATGGACACAAGCGCTGGCATCGTCGTCCTCAACGGGAAGCTCATCGGTGCGTCCATCTTGCTACCGTTGCAATCAACCAACGATGATGCGTGGGGCTAGAGCAAGTGTATGTCAAGGCGGCGCACGATATTTTGGCCAAGCACGAAGCCATCCGAGCCAAGACTCACTAACAGCAAGCATCTGCATGTGCATGTACTCGAATAGAGTGCCTTGTGAAATGATCGATGGCTTGGCCTCTGGTTATATAGACGCCGCGGTGGCGATGGGTGCTCGGAACAAGAGCGTTGACGATCTGGTCATGGCCACCGATTTGCTGTAGTAGATACGCCACTTTTATCTTGAGCGCCAAGAGGAGGAGCGATTCGCCTGTGGCTTTTGATAGATGCCATGCACGCTACTGGAGCGAGTCAGCAAAGCTGCTACTTCGTGGCCGGCACATTTTGGAAGGAATAGCTTCTCCTGAAGTTGTGTTCTTGTACCAAGGCCAAGCAAGGGCGCCATCTTGAACCGCCTTGCCAAGACGCCAGCTCACCCAAGATGGCGGCTCCACCAGCTCGTCTTTTTATAGCACGGCGCAACCGCCGAGATCGAAGAGCAAGCATTCACGCTCATTTGCGATTTGCTCGTCAAGCGTCAAGCCTCTCAACTACTAAGCGCCCTTTCCACCCACCAATCAATCCCTTCGAGGGCTCCGAAGACGACCCCCGTTCGTATCCCCATGCATTAGCGTCGGGGACGAAAGCGTTAGCTGGTTTACGACCGATTGAGCGGCGCACTCGACCATACACTGCAATTACATGTGTTTACAGGACGCCACACATTGATTGACAAGTTAAGTTATTGCGGATTTGGTCAGTGGTCGTCCGCTTCGAACGTCGCGAGGAGCGAGTGGATCGAATGGTCGGTCTCGGGGGCGGGCATGAGCTCTGCGACTGACGCTGCCGTTGTCTGCGAGAGCACGCTGCTGTCGTCATCGTCGTTCTCGGGGTGTCGCCACACTTCGTCTTGCTTTCGGCGCCACGAAAAGCCCGCTTGTGGCATCTGCTTGTCCAGTAGCGACGGCGGCGACGCGACGGGCGGGCGCAAGAACGTCGACGCGACGTGGTCGACCGGCGTCGACGGTGAGAGGAACGAATCGTCTCGTAGTCGCTTGGGCGGCAAGAGCAAAGTCGTCTCGCACGGACGCTTCTTGGAAAAGTAGCTGGACGGCAGGAGCGACTGCAGCCCGTTGCCCGCCAAGTCGAGCTCTTCCGCCGACAGCGTCGCATCGTCGTCGGTGTGGTCCGTGGCGTCCGCAGTAGTAGCGCCGAGAAGGCTAAAGAGATCAAGCGGTGGCGGAAACACACTTGGCGCCTGGAGCTCCGTGTCGATCGCGCCGTTGTCGACGTCGCAGGCCTCGTCCTCGTCGACATGCTCGCTGTAGACACCCTCAAGGTACACGGCGGCGGCGTACTGGCGCGCCTCAATCGCCACCTCGAGCGGTGTGCAGTCATTGTGGTCGGTCCAGTCGACGCGGGCGCCGATGGCGACGAGCCGCTGTAGGAATGCGACGTGGCCGCCGT